CGATCAATGCAATATGAGAAAGATCTGTTTAGTTCTTCTTTTAATCCATTTTGTTTTTATGATCAGTCTCAAAATATAGCATGCACAACGAGGGATCAAGGGGAACCTACATTTAAAATTTGAGAAAGATCCCTCTGGTACTTCTTGAGAAATAGCGATAACAAACTTTCACTATCAAAATCCAAGATGGCTGCCTGTCGGCCATGTTGGTTATCCGATCAGTCTCAAAAGTTGCCCTGCACAGCTAGGGACCGAGGGGAACCTGCATATAAAATTTGGGAAAGATCCCTCTAGTACTTCTTGAGAAATAGCGATAACAAGAATTGTTTAAGGACGGACGACGGACGGACGACGGACCACGGACGCAGGGTGATTTGAATAGCCCACCATCAGATGATGGTGGACTAAAAATCCCTAAAATGGTACTGAAGAAGGATTTAAAAAACTTTAACCTCCAATCCCCCTATCGGACCCAGACGGGCTACACCCACTGTTTAAACAAAATTGAGTCCCCTTTGCCCAAGGAAACTTGAGGCCAAATTTGGATAAAATCCCTTCAATAGTACAGAAAGCTTCAGAAAGCTTCAATAGCTTCAGACTAAATTAGGATAAAATCCCTTAATCCCTACAGTAGAAGAAGGAGATTAAAGGGCTTACCTCTATTTCCCCTATTGGGCCCTGCCTCTCTGTCTCCAGAGGGGCCTCACCCACAGTTTATACAAAATTTGGTCTCATTAGCCTAAGGATGCTCCAGACAAAATTTAGTCATAATCTACTGGGCCGTTCAGGACTAGTTGCGTTTTAAAGGAAAAGTTGATGGACGGACGACTAATGCTGCGGTTTGGCATAAGCTCACCATGGTCCTTTGGTCCAGGTGAGCTAGAAATAGGTCAGAACACCAAACCTAGGTCAATTAACAAATTTTAATAAAGTTTTGATTATTATGTCATAATGACCTCATTAGGTGAAGTGAATTCTTTAACCCAATGTAATGTTTTTTAAGAATGAAGATGAAATACAAATAAATGTATCACAAAGATTCATAAGGTGTCCAACGAAGTTCATCTGAAATTCAAACTTAATACCCTTTGTGTTGTTCCAATAAATCAATTTAATAGATTATTAGTCATTGAACTTTGGACCATGAATGATTGATCACTATTTTCTATGATCGATCATTGTATGACTATAACAGAAGGGTCTGTATCTCTCATCTGTTTATTTTGTTACATGGAGTTATTGGCCAAATATTGTGAAGTTAGGTTGGTTGGATATTCAGAAGCGGTTGAAGGTTAACAATTATTAGACCCCTGTGACCTTAAAAATATACGTAGGGCAAGGGCATATTCATGTGCAAATGTTGTTAAACTCAAACAGAGGTTGTTGGTGGGGAAATAGCAGCAGGACTGCAAGTGTGTTGAAGGGTTTTGTTTGTTGTTATTTGCTTATTGTTTTAGCAACAGCCAAGGTCATATAAGGATGGTGTCACATGACATACATATGACTATGAAAGTATAGGTCAATGTCATTTTCATTCGCAAACTTTGTTGTGGGCCATCATACAACGCTAATGGCCATATATCATGACTCTAGGCCTTTTCAGATCTTCAGGAGCAGTCGTTTGAATGTTTTGAATTATTTGACCCCTGTGACCTTGAAAGTAGGTCAAGGTCATTTTCATTCGCAAACTTTGTCAGGCTCCATCATAGGATGTTACTGGCCAAAAATTATGACTGTAGGAGATTCGGACCTACAGAAGAAGTTGTAAAACAAAAAGTTGACGGATTGAAGACAAACGCCAGGCCATGGCATAAGCTCACATGCATAGTGACAATCGATCATGAATTTTAAAGCAATTCGAAACTCTATCATACACAGTGCTATATTGACTGCCTTCCAGTCTATATGATTCTATAGACTAAAACAGTTCCATCGTGTGTTGACACAATAAGGCCCTCACTTATTTATCAGATTCATTGATATCATCTTGTCATGTATCGCATTATCAGCGATATGAAGCTACAGTTGGAGGGGGCTGTAACTGTAAGTGGGAGGAGGGGGGGTGGATTGTAACTGTACGGGGAGAGGGAACCGTAAGTGGGAGGAGGGGGGGGGATTGTAACTGTACGGGGAGGCGGGGCTGTAACTGTATGGGTGCGGGAGTACCATTCCTGATCTGTACAATACTACAGCAATACGACCAAGGTCATGTTTTACAAAACAAAGTTCAGGAATGTGTACATTGAAATAATGATTTCCTAGTGACATGGATCTGTTATGGCAGTGAACAATGTATGACTCTTAATTATATAACCTTTCATGAATACCAGGCCTTTTAACATGATCTATGTAGTGTTGTTCCGATACTCAACTTAATGTTCAATATTGATTTGTTATAGGCTAAACTAATGAATTCATGACTGATTCGATCTAGTCAGAATAATTGTGTGTAGATATTATACAGTTTTCAATGATTCGTGATCTCCCTGCTAAATACTGAAACAAGACTAGTCTCCCAACTGTTGTGTCAGCATCACTACACACATTACAAAGGAGGTTTTTGAAGGGAGGTAATCCTTCCAACTCAGCTCTTACTTTTAATTTGTATATGTTATTCACAACAAAAAGCACAAATAGTAATTGAATAGTTATTCAATGATCTATCATAAAATTTCCCCAATCAGTCGACATACGACAAGTACTTCATATCTTATACCTTATTTTTTTTAATTTCTCCTTTAATTTAATTTAATCAAATGATTCATACATAGTCGAGGTTTTACTAGTTATATGCAACATCCTTAGACAGCACTGTGCACTATTGTAACGTAATATCAGATATTATGAAGTTATGATAGGAACTAAAGCCACAGTCACATCTTACGGTCACACACATAGTTGACCGTAGTGGGGGATGACCGTAGTTGACTGTAGTAGACCATAGGTGACCTTAGTTAAACATGCGAGACTGTAAGATGTGACCGCGGCTTAAGCCAGAGTTTATACAAATGTAGTGTCATTTTGGACCTGCTTACTTTTCTTAAGCACAAATGATATCTGTCACAGGACTAGAACAAGAGGCCTAAGGGCCTTAGCGGTCACCTGAGTTATACCATAGGTACTGGTAGCTTTATTTTATTGTTTAGATGTGATGTGGAAATCAGCATGTAAACTAAGTGAAATGCAATACTTGTCATGTCATCAAAGGATAAGAATTTGAAAATATTGGTAAATGTTCCCTTTGGGGCCCAACCCTAGCCCCTGGGGATCGGGCAGGAATCCTAATTTTACAATGTAATAGCCGCATTCACCAAAGATGATTCTGACTAAGTTTGAGTAATTTCTGCTGAAAATGGATAAAATATACCCAAAAGTGTTTCCCTATATAAACTATAATAAACTTTACACCCTCCCCAAGGGAGAACGGATAGCTTGAGGGTCCTGAAATTTACAATTTAAATAAAGCCCCTGATGATCTTTCTTTTTATGCACTGAAATTGAATGTAGTACCTCTGAGTCTGGAGAACAAGATTTTTGAAATATTGGTTAATTTTCCCTTTGGGGCCCGCCCTGGCCCCTACTGGGTTGGGGTAGGAATCTCAATTTTACAATTTGAAACCATCTTCCTCCAAGGATAATTCTCACCAAGTAAACATAATTTCCTACAAAAAGTTGTCATAATATACCCAAAAATGTTATTTCCCTATATAAACTATTGTAAACTTTACCCCCTCCCCAAGGGAGAACGAACAGCTTGAGGGTCCTGAAATTTACAATTTAAATAAAGCCCCTGATGATCTTGCTTTCCATGCAGAGAAAATGACTATAGTACCTCCGCTCCTGGAGAAGAAGATTTTTGTAATATTGGTTAATTTTCCCTTTGGGGCCCCGCCCTGGCCCCAGCAGTTGGGGTAGGAATCTCAATTTTACAATTTGAAACCATCTTCCTCCAAGGATAATTCTCACCAAGTAAACATAATTTCCTACAAAAAGTTGTCATAATATACCCAAAAATGTTATTTCCCTATATAAACTATAGTAAACTTTACCCCCTCCCCAAGTGAGAACGGATAGCTCAGGGGTCCTGTAATTTACAATTTAAATAAAGCCCCTGATGATCTTGCTTTCCATGCAGAGAAAATGACTATAGTACCTCCGCTCCTGGAGAAGAAGATTTTTGAAATATTGGTTAATTTTCCCTTTGGGGCCCCGCCCTGGCCCCAGCAGTTGGGGTAGGAATCTCAATTTTACAATTTGAAACCATCTTCCTCCAAGGATAATTCTCACCAAGAAAAATTAATTTCCTACAGAACGTTGTCAAAATATACCCAAAAGTGTTATTTCCCTATATAAACTATAGTAAACTTTACCCCCTCGGAACAGATAGCTCGGGGGTCCTGAAATTTACAATTTAAATAAAGACCCTGATGATCTTTCTTTTTATGCACTGAAATTAAATGTAGTACCTCTAGATCTGAGTCTGGAGAAGAAGATTTTTGAAATATTCGTTAATTTTCCCTTTGGGGCCCCACCCTGGCCCCAGGGGTTGGGGTAGGAATCCCAATTTTAAAATTGTGTATCCTCATCTACCAAGGATGATTCTGACCAAGATTGAAAAAAATCCATCCGCTGGTTCTTGAGAAGAAGTTGAAAATGTAAAAAGTGTACGCACGACGCACCATGACAAACGGAAAGCTATTAGAATAGGTCATTTGAGCAAAGTTCAGGTGACCTAAAAAAGGAAAATGGTCCCAGGTAAACAAACCCACATGTAGAAGAACACACATGGCTATAACTTTGTACAAAGGCCACAATCGTCCTTGATACACTGGTGTGAAAGAAATACCAAAATAAAAAGTCTTTCAAAATATTGGGCCACTTAACCCTTCTGACCAGGGGAGCTAAATATTAAAAATATCAATGAAAAAACGAAATGTTCCTAAACTTCGTTTGGGGGATATAGTAAAGTTTCTGGTGAAATGTTAACAAAGTTGACTTACCAGTAGCGTCTTTGCGAGGAGATCCTGTTGGGGTTTTGGAGCGAGCATCAATCTTGGAACCCACATGTTTGACTGTCACCTTCTGATCTGTTATCTTTACATTCCCTCCACCAGGCTTGTAGTTTTCGTTCTTGGCATCAATTCCATATTTCTTCCTCTGAGAAGTAGCGGATGTCTGAAAGAAAATCAATTTGATATTCTGACCAATGTCTGACCAAATACAGGAAGTTCAATTTGTGTATATTTCGCCCTGTATTATCAGTCTGGGTTCGTCTACCTCTACTTGATTGTTGCATGGTACGAGATGACCTTTGTAGCAATGTTTTGGTAGTATATGTCCTAAACTGTTGAACACTGATATCAAATATAGAAATATATACAGCTAACGAAACTGACATGATTTTTACAAATCAACAAATCTAAGCATTTAGAACATTGTAAATAATCAGGAGCACCTCAGGGTAGCCAGTACTAGATAGTTACAAAAGGGCCGGTACAACACCTCAGGGTAGCCAGTACTAGATGGTTACACAAGGGCTGGTACAGCACCTCAGGGCTGCCAGTACTAGATGGTTACGTAAGGGCCGGTACAACACCTCAGGGTAGCCAGTACTAGATGGTTACACAAGGGCTGGTACAGCACCTCAGGGCTGCCAGTACTAGATGGTTACATAAGGGCCGGTACAACACCTCAGGGTAGCCAGTACTAGATGGTTACAAAAGGGCCGGTACAACACCTCAGGGTAACCAGTACTAGATGGTTACACAAGGGCCGGTACAACACCTCAGGGAAGCCAGTACTAGATGGTTACACAAGGGCTAGATACAAGCCCTCAGGGTAGCCAGTACTAGATTGTTACACAAGGGCCGGTACAACGTTACATAAGGGCCGGTACAACACCTCGGGGTAGCCAGTACTAGATGGTTACAAACGGGCCGGTACAACACCTCAGGGTAACCAGTACTAGATGGTTACAAAAGGGCCGGAACAACACCTCAGGGTAACCAGTACTAGATGGTTACGCAAGGGCCGGTACAACACCTCAGGGGAGCCAGTACTAGATGGTTACAAAAGGGCCGGAACAACACCTCAGGGTAACCAGTACTAGATGGTTACACTAGGGCCGGTACAACACCTCAGGGTAGCCCGTACTAGATGGTTACAAAAGGGCCGGTACAGCACCTCAGGGTAACCAGTACTAGATGGTTACGCAAGGGCCGGTACAACACCTCAGGGGAGCCAGTACTAGATGGTTACAAAAGGGCCGGTACAACACCCCAGGGTAACCAGTACTAGATGGTTACAGAAGGGCCGGTACAACACCTCAGGGTAGCCCGTACTAGATGGTTACAAAAGGGCCGGTACAGCACCTCAGGGTAACCAGTACTAGATGGTTACGCAAGGGCCGGTACAACACCTCAGGGGAGCCAGTACTAGATGGTTACAAAAGGGCCGGAACAACACCTCAGGGTAACCAGTACTAGATGGTTACACTAGGGCCGGTACAACACCTCAGGGTAGCCCGTACTAGATGGTTACAAAAGGGCCGGTACAAGACCTCAGGGTAACCAGTACTAGATGGTTACGCAAGGGCCGGTACAACACCTCAGGGGAGCCAGTACTAGATGGTTACACAAGGGCTAGATACAAACCCTCAGGGTAGCCAGTACCAGATTGTTACACAAGGGCCGGTACAACCCCTCAGGGAAGCCAGTACTAGATGGTTACACAAGGGGCGGTACAACACCTCAGGGTAGCCAGTACTAGAGGGTTACACAAGGGCCGGTACAACACCTCAGTGTAGCCAGTACTAGATGGTTACACAAGGGCTGGTACAACACCTCAGGGTAGCCAGTACAAGATGGTTACAAAAGGGCCGGTACAACCCCTCAGGGTAACCAGTACTAGATGGTTACAAAAGGGCCGGTACAGCACCTCAGGGTAACCAGTACTAGATGGTTACAAAAGGGCCGGTACAGCACCTCAGGGTAACCAGTACTAGATGGTTACACAAGGGCCTGTACAACACCTCAGGGCTGCCAGTACTAGATGGTAACACAAGGGCCGGTACAACACCTCAGGGTGGCCAGTACTAGATGGTAACACAAGGGCCGGTACAACCCCTCAGGGAAGCCAGTACTAGATGGTTACAAAAGGGCCGGAACAACACCTCAGGGTAACCAGTACTAGATGGTTACAGAAGGGCCGGTACAACACCTCAGGGTAGACAGTACTAGATGGTTACAAAAGGGCCGGAACAACACCTCAGGGTAACCAGTACTAGATGGTTACAAAAGGGCCGGAACAACACCTCAGGGTAACCAGTACTAGATGGTTACACTAGGGCCGGTACAACACCTCAGGGTAGCCAGCACTAGATGGTTACAAAAGGGCCGGTACAGCACCTCAGGGTAACCAGTACTAGATGGTTACACTAGGGCCGGTACAACACCTCAGGGTAGCCACTACTAGATGGTTACAAAAGGGCCGGTACAGCACCTCAGGGTAACCAGTACTAGATGGTTACGCAAGGGCCGGTACAACACCTCAGGGGAGCCAGTACTAGATGGTTACACAAGGGGCGGTACAACACCTCAGGGTAGCCAGTAATAGATGGTTACAAAAGGGCCGGTACAACCCCTCAGGGTAACCAGTACTAGATGGTTACAGAAGGGCCGGTACAACACCTCAGGGTAGACAGTACTAGATGGTTACAAAAGGGCCGGTACAGCACCTCAGGGTAACCAGTACTAGATGGTTACAAAAGGGCCGGTACAAGACCTCAGGGTAACCAGTACTAGATGGTTACGCAAGGGCCGGTACAACACCTCAGGGGAGCCAGTACTAGATGGTTACACAAGGGGCGGTACAACACCTCAGGGTAGCCAGTACTAGATGGTTGCACAAGGGCCGGTACAACACCTCAGGGTAACCAGTACTAGATGGTTACGCAAGGGCCGGTACAACACCTCAGGGGAGCCAGTACTAGATGGTTACAAAAGGGCCGGTACAGCACCTCAGGGTAACCAGTACTAGATGGTTACAAAAGGGCCGGTACAACCCCTCAGGGTAACCAGTACTAGATGGTTACACAAGGGCCAGATACAACACCTCAGGGTAGCCAGTGCTAGATGGTTACAAAAGGGCCGGTACAGCACCTCAGGGTAACCAGTACTAGATGGTTACGCAAGGGCCGGTACAACACCTCAGGGGAGCCAGTACTAGATGGTTACACAAGGGGCGGTACAACACCTCAGGGTAGCCAGTATTAGATGGTTACACAAGGGCCAGGTACAACACCTCAGGGCAGCCAGTACTAGATGGTTACACAAGGGCCTGTACAACACCTCAAAGTAACCAGTACTAGATGGTTACACAAGGGCCGGAACAACACCTCAGGGTAGCCAGTACTAGATGGTTACACAAGGGCCGGATACAACACCTCAGGGCTGCCAGTACCTTAGACCATGGTGGTGGGAACTACACCATTTCTCTATCTCAGATCTCTGATGTTATCACAAACTTTATTTGTATTATTTAAGATTGATAAATGTCCTTAAATTACAAACTGCGATCATTTCATTATGTACACAATACAAGTGATGCAGTGGACCTGCATCACTCGACTGATATTAATTTCACACATGAAACATTGAAACTGGACCAGAAACAAATATGTTTCAATAGACTTCTAGACACCAAGACACAAATATCACTACCTTTAACTCTTTGTCATTCAAAAGAACTTATTTAAAGATTAATCACATTGTATCCATGTGACCTTGAAAGTTGGTCAAGGTCATTATTTGAACAAGTTTTGGGGCTCTTTATCTCAGCATACTACATCGTACAGGCCAAATGTCATCACCCTCCGCCTGTTGGTTATTGAAATGAAAACATTTAACATTTGACCCCTGTGACCTTCAGGCCCATCATGATCATTCATTTGCAAAACTTTGTAGTCTTCATCCAGCATGCTACTGGCCAAACCTTATCACTTGAACATTTTTGTGATTGAAAAAAAGCTGTATAAAGTTTTCAGCACATTGGACCCCTGAGACCTTGAAAGTGGGTCAAGTTCGTTGAATTGAAGAAACTTGGTAGCCCTTCATTCCAGTATGCCTGGACAAATATAATCACCATAGGCCTTATTGAGAGGAGGTTGTTAAAATATTCCAATGCATTTGACTCCTGTGAATTTTAAAGCAAGTCACAGCCATTTATTTGATCAAACTCAACAGCCCTTCCTCCCAGCATGCTACCTGCCAAACATCGTCACTATAGTCCTGTTAGTTTTTCTTTTAAACAGTTTAACAGATTTTACCCCTGCGACCTTGAAAATGGATGAAGGCCAAATATTATTTCCCTAGACCTTTTGGCTATTCAAAAGAAGTAATTTAAAGGTTTTAAGATATTTGACTCCTATGACCTTGAATATGGGTAAAGGTAATTTCTTTGAAAAGTCTCGATAGCACTTCATCAAAGCATGCCTCTTACCAAATATCATTCACCTCAGCCTCTTGGTTTTTAAAAAAAAAAGATGTTTAAAGATTAAAAAACATTTCATCCTTGAGACTTTGAGAAGCAGGCAAAGGTCATTTCTTTGAAAGCTCATTGATAGCCTTTCATCCCAGCATGCTTCTGAACAAATATCCCAGCATGCCTCTGAACAAATATTCCAGCATGCTTCTGGCCAAATAAATTCACCTCACTTGCCATCTTTGTTATTCAGAAGAAGTTCTATGAGTGTTTCAATAAACTTGACCCCTGTCAACTCAATAGTGGGTCAAGGTCGTTCCATTTGAACATACCTAACAGCCATTTATCCCAGCATGCTGTTGACAAAACTTCATCTACTTATAGGCCCACTGGTTATTCAGAAGTTGTTTAAAAACATAAAGTTGATGCTGAACAGAGAACTGATGCTACACCTTTTAATAAGCTAACTTGGCTCTTGTAGCCAGACAAGTTAAAACTGAACGAAGGGCCAGAACCATTTCTCTACATTGTGCAGAAGAAAAACCTTAAATCAGTACTTGACACTCTGCCATCCCAAGAGGAATATTCAGTTGTACTTAAACACAAAATGTACAGGGTGAGTACATGAACAAAGGGCCATAACTCAACAAATAGTGGAGCACATTTCACAACCTAACAACCTCAAGCCCGGCTCC